CTCCTCTTATCCTACAAGGACCTGTGAGGCCCCAGCGCCTCACCCCACCCCTCACTCAGAAGGTCATGGGCGCCCGTGTTCCTTCGTCTGAGCCTCTCGCCATGCGGGCCTCTCGCTCTGTGTGTGTGGCGTCCCCGTACATGTGCGCGCATTTGATTTTCTCTTGTTCGCCTGTTTGATGAAGAGACCGGTGGGCACGTTCCCCTCCCCCACAGCCCCGACTTCAGCGGGCACACGGCCTGCCTGCCTCCCTCCGCCCGGGCAGGCTCACTGCCACAGGGAGCTTTGGGGTCTGCTCTGTGACCTTCAGCAGATCGCTTACCCTCTGTGGGCCTGTTCCTTTTCCTCCCTCCCAGGCAGGAAGGTGTGAGACAGTGAGATAGTGGGTGTGGCGCACAGAAAATGTGGAATGGATGCATCTCAACAGCCCCTTCCCTTCGGCCAGCAAGAGCCGGATTTGGGGGTGCCTTCCCCATCTCCGTCCCTCAGAGCTGGAGGTGAGGCATATGGCACAGGCCTAAGTCAGCACATGACGTTCTCCTGGCCAGTGACCGGTCCATGTCCTGTATCCCCAGCCAGAGCCATGAGAGTGTAAGTTTGGGGCTTGGCTGCAGACGCGGAGATTTCGGCCCAAGGAGGGTAGTCTGGTCGGGCGTGGAGCTGCTGGAACCTCGGCTGAGCACGCGGAGAACGGAAGATGGAGTCCACAGAGAAAGGAGGGGGAGACTAGACGTGGTGACACTGTTCGGGCCTCGGCGTCAGCCGCACCTGCGTGTCCCGCCTTCCCCCAGCCAGCCTCCTGGTCCGTCATTGTCAGGGAGCCTTTGGGGCGAGGGGCCCAGAAGGTCTTCACATTGAAGCCCAAAGTCCTCAAAAGCCCCCACCGCCCCGAGAGCTGCTGGCGGAGTGGCTGTCTCCAGGGCACGCGCCACCGAAAGCAGTCCCCTTCCTGGAATACTCGCCAGCCCCGAGCCACTGACACCATAAACCAAGAGCGAGGGGAGCCCAGGATTTCCCCGAGAGATTTCCCCGAGGGCCGGGGCCGGCGGAGCTGGAAGGGCATCGGAGCTGTGTGGGCCGCCCCGGGGGAGCTGGGTGGCCCACCACAGGAGTTCTCTCGGCCTCTGCGTGCGGGTGGGTGGAGGAGCTGGCAGGCGGATGAAGGAGCGGACGGGTGGAGGAGGGAGAGGGCAAGTGGAGGAGGAGCAGGAGGGCAGGTGGAGGAGCAGGAGGGCAGGTGGAGGAGCAGGTGGGTGGGTGGAGGAGCAGGCGGGTGGGAGGAGGAGGAGTGGGCAGGTGGAGGAGAGGGTGGAGGAGTGGGCAGGTGGAGGAGAGGGTGGAGGAGTGGGCAGGTGGAGGAGAGGGTGGCGGAGTGGGCAGGTGGAGGAGAGGGTGGAGGAGCGGGCAGGAGGGTGGAGGAGCCGGTGGAGGAGCGGCCGGGTGGGAGGAGGAGTGGTGAGCACAAGGCGTGTCAGACAGGGTTTGCACCAGAGGCCTCGCTGGGAGGAGGAGCAGGAAGAGGAGGAGGAGGAGCACATGCTGGCTGCGGAAGCTGTCTTCCAGGGATGCCAACGACATCTTTACAGTGGTTTTCTCTCTCTCAGCTGGTGTGTTTTGTTGTTCATGACATTTTTAAAGGTTCTGCAGTCAAAGGAGCTTGGGAAACGCCAGGTCAGGCAAAGAGAAGCAGAGACATTATTACAGGACCTCTCAGCCACCAGCCGATCAGGCGAACTTTGACCCTCCAGAGGGGAACTGGAGAACGGGCTTTCCCGGGATTCCACCTGCACAGTTCCTCCTGGAGAAGCTTCTCCTGGGACACACAGCCCCCCGGGCAGCCTGCTCCCTCCGCTCAGCCTGCTCTGGCCCTGGGAGCCCCAGTGCCTGGGCGGCCTGACGGGCAGAAGCAGCCCTCCTCGCGGCTCCTGGGAGGGCGGAGTAAACAGCCCTCTCTGGCAGGAGGGCTGGAGACCCCACGCCTCTACAACGCACCCACCCCCACCCGCCCGCCCGCCAGGGACCACCTCTCAGGACCGGCCTCAGGACTGCTGCTCCCTCCCGTGGCCTCTAGAAGCCCCAGCAATTCGGGAAAACTCTTATCACTGAATCTACCTTCCCCTCCCCCGCCCCCGCCCCCTCAGGCCCGGAGAGGAGAGCCATCTCTGCCTCTCCCGCTGCCTGGCTCACCGGCTGTGGAAGCAAAGCCACCTCCTCTTGCTGGGCCAAGAGACACAATGGGAGCTGCTCAGTGCCTCAGTGCCCCCCACCCCCCCAGCCCACCAGAGCACGCCAGGGCCCCTAGCTGCCCCATGCCGAGCTCGGAGCCAGGCAACCTGTCCTCAGCTACCGCCTGTCTCCACCGGCCCTGCCACTCCGCGAGTGTCCCCTCAGCACCTTTGCTCAGGCTGCTCTAAGTCCCGGAGTGCCATTCGCAGCACCACTTGGCCCCAAAAGACCAGTGACAGCCTCCTGGAGCTGCCCACCCTCCCGCCCCCAACCATTCCCTGCTTGGGCCCTGGTCTCCCTTCTTCTTATGAAATCACTCAGTTATGGAAACAAGAGAATCATATACCAAATACTGCGCATCCAGCTCTGCTTAAGAATAAGGCATATGGGCCTGACCAGGCACCTCAGTTGGTTAGAACATCGTGTCCCCTACACCAAGGTTCTGAGTTCGATCCCCATCAGGGCACATTGAAGAATCAGCCAAAAAAGTAAATTAAATAAATCAACCAATGAATGCAGTACTAAATGGAACAACAAATCGACCTCTCTCTCTCTCTCTCTCTCTCTCTCTCTCTCTCTCTCATCAATATATAAAAATTTGAAAAGGACATTACATGTATCATTAAGGCCTTCCTGAACTCCTTCCCAATACCCCCCCCCCCCATTGCTTGCCCCAGGGTCACCTCCCCTGAATTTGGGATTCCTGAGAGAAGAATCTTTGCCTATCCTGATATCCAGCCATAATATGTATCCTTCCATATATATATCATGTTTCCCCGAAAATAAGACATCCTCCGAAAATAAGACCTACTTACAGGTTTCCTTCTGAGTGAAATATAAGGCATCCCCCCAAAAATAAGGCCCCTCCCCCCCCCATAGGCTAAACATGAGAGATTTGGTCCACTGATTCTGAAAGAAATGGAGTCACAAGAAATTCGCCAGGAAATTCAGGAATTGGATTGTTATGATGATGTTGCAGAAGATGATGACATGATTGTCATTGAACAAATGAGTAAATTCTTGATACTGTAGAATTCACAGTTTGTCTGGTTTGTGTTGACAACTACCGTACTACCGTACCGTATACAGGTAATAAATTTCCTTTATTTTCATTTAACAATAAATGTGTACCGTATTCTTTTTCATGGAAAAATAAGACATCCCCTGAAAATAAGACCTAGCACATCTTTGAGAGCAAAAATTAATATAAGACACTGTCTTATTTTCGGGGAAACAGGGTGTGTGTGTGTGTGTGTGTGTGTGTATAATTTTTTTTTTTCCCACAGAAAGGAAGGGGGAGGGATAGTTAGAAACATCAATCAGCTGACCCCTGCACACCCCCTTCTGGGTATGTGCCCACAACCAAGGTACATGCCCTTGACGGGAATCGAACCTGGGACCTTTCAGTCTGCAGGCCAATGCTCTATCCACTGAGCCAAACCGGTCAGGGCAATGTATAGCTTTTTCATTTTTTTTTTTTTTTTTAGCTTTGTATAAATAAAATAACTGGTTCTCCTTTATAGTTATTGGAGGTGACAGGTGCTGGTCTTGCTCATTTTTATCCACTGGTGAGTCCCGCTGGTGCGTGTCCATTCTGCTGGTGACCAGCCATCCCCAAGCAGCCCGGAGCCTCGTGCTGCCCCCTTAGCCCGCCCGCCAGTCAGGTCCCTCCCCAGGAATGCGCTGGGAAAGGGACACGCCGTCTGCAGCCTCGCTGCTGCTGCTGCCGCACTGCTCTCCCGGTGCTAGTGCCACCTACCCTGACGGCAACCCGGTTCTGTCCCTCAGCCCAGCCCCATGAGCTCCCTCCACCCATGTCCATCCCCCAAGCAAATGACTCTTTGACGTCCAGCCAGTCCATCCCTTCCCTCACTGCTGCCCTTGGGCCGTGAGGGCTTCCCCTCTGGGCCAGCCGACACTGCGCACCACTCCTCCCTGAGCCTGTTTCCCGGACACGGAGCCCCACGGGAGCCAGCAGCAGGCGAGTGAGGATTCCGGGAGAAAAGCATGAAAACGAGCAGGAGCTCCATGAAGAGAAGCTGTTGTGAACATCTTCGGACGCCAACCACCTCGTCACTCAGGGCGACTTCGCTGTGGCCACAGAAGCCCCAGTGCAGCCAGTGGGCGGAAACGGCCACTACTGGCCACATAACTGGGACGTCTGAGGGATGTCACTCCAGGTGTGAGGGCTCCAGGACTGAGCAGGAGCTGGTCCATCCCGCTCGGGGCCACTCCCCTCCGCGTCAGTGGCCAGTCTCCGGGGGGGCGGGGGGGGGGCTCCAGGGCGACATCCCTCCAGCTTCACCACATTCCTGCCCCCGTCCCCGGCGGTCCTACATGCCCACGCGGGAGCCACGGCCAGCACCCGCCCTGCTCCTCAGAGCGGCTTTTGGAAGCAGCGTCGGAACCCCTCAGGCCCTGCCTAACCTCCCAGTCAGAGGACAAGGCCCTGGGCAGCACCGCTTTTTGGAAAAACCTCCAGGTGAGCCGTCTGCACACCCGAGTCAGGAAAGTACTGCACACAAACGTTTTCAGCTGCTTAGACAGTTTTTTAAATATATATTTTTATTTATTTCAGAGAGGAAGGGACAGGGGGAGAGAGCTAGAAATATCAATGATGAGACTCACTGATTGGCTGCCCCCTACACACGTCCCACTGGGGACCAAGCCCAAAACCAGGCATGTGCCCTTGACCGGAATCGAACCTGGGACCCTCCAGTCCGCAGGCCAATGCTCTATCCACTGAGCCAAACCAGCCAGGGCGAGCTTAGACCATTTTAAAGTTCTGTTTTATTGAGAACCACGGAAGGTAGAAACTAACAAAGCTTTTCAAAGTCACCAAGTCCTCTTTCAAAGACGGGGAAGCGGGCGGCAGGGAGGGCTGCTCCAGGGCCCGCCCAGTGGCCTCCAGCCGCTCCCCCCAGCACAGCCTCCTCCGTGCACTGGCGCAGGGACGTGCGTCAGGGCCAAAGCGCAGGATGGGCCATACCTGCCTCGTTCAGAGGCGACCTGGCCTGGGCTCTCGGTTGCTCACACATGCAGACCCTCTGCCCCCTCACCCTGACCCGCCACGGGGTCCCCAGAGCCAAGAGCTACAGACCAGGCCAGCCTTTATTCTGTACAGAGCAGGGCCGTGGGCCGAGGCCCTTGATTCTCAGGCTGTGTCAGAAGGTGCAGCGCTGGGGGACCCAGACTGGACCCCAAAGTGACAATAAGTTAGGGGGGAAATTCTCAGGCTGTTGTCAGGCTGGAGCCAGGGTGTGGCGCCACGTGGGCCTTCCAGCTGCCCAGCTCAGCCCTCCCGGGAAGGCAGCTCTAGGACAGCACGCCTCATGCTGAAACAGAGCAGGGAAGAGACAGGGGGGCCACGGGTCAGGAGGTGGCAGGGGAGGGCTGTCCGAGGCGTCCCCAGAATCAGGGAGGAGAGGCTGAGGAGGTGGGGCAGGGACTTGAGGGAGGGTCAGGAGCCCTCAGACCCAGGGCAGGGCAGGCCCGGCTCTCACAGGTCTCACTGAAGCTCCTGCAGATTTTCATAATCTGGGGCACCCTCTTCCTCCTCTTCCTCTGCCTCCTGGGAACTCAAGGTGGCTGTAGGGGGAGAGGAGGTTGGTCTTCACCTCACACACTGTCCCCCAACCCAGGGAGCCCCCGTTCCCGCGCTCCGCTGGCACATACCAGCCTCAGTCCTCTCGGTGGGCTGCAGGTCCTCGGACACGTTCACATACTCCCGGCTCCCATCTGCGGGGACAGGTCAGAAGGAGGGACAGCCACACTGGGCGAGAGGGCAGAGGACAGCAGACCAAGGGGGACAGAGCCACAGAACGGCTGTGGGCACGGCCACACTGGCAGTGGGCTGGGGTGGCAGGGCCAGGGGAAGGGAGGGCACTGGGGGCACCGGCCACTCACCCAGAGACAAGTCGGCACTCTCCTCGCTCTCGGGAACGTTCACATAGTCCTCCCCGGACTCCACTGTGGAAAAGCAGCGGGGCCGGCTTACCCAGGGCCTCTGGGCAGACACCCCGGCCCGGCCCCAGATTCAACAAAACCAGCCAGGACTCCTGCTCCGATGCCCAGACACTGGCCCACAGCGGCCCAGAGGGAGGCGGGGAGGTGCCCACCAGCGCAGTCAATGGCCTGAAGGGCCAACAAAGGCAGTGGCAATGGCGAGAACAGGCAGTCTGACCAGAGCGGATGAAAGGGGATGCGACCGAGAGAGGAGAGATGGCGTGGGCAGCGCAGAGCGGCGGGGCTGGGAGGCACCTGTGGAGGGAGATCCCCCAGGGCTGGGCCCATCAGAGGGGCCATCGCCCGGCTGGCCCTTCCTCCCACTTTGGTCCTAGTCCAGCGGTTCCCAACCTTCCTAACGCCACGACCCTTTCACACAGCTCCTCACGCTGTGGTGACCCCCAGCCATAACATTGTTTTCGTTGCTACTTTGTAACTGTAATTTTTGTTGCTACTTCATAACTTAATGTAAATATCTGTGTTTCCCGATGGTCTTAGGCTTTATAGTCGGGACCCACAGGCTGAGAACCGCTAGCAGGGCCACCTAAGACCATCGAAATCAAAAAACACAGATATTTGCAAGACAATTCATAACAATAGCAAAATTACAGTTATAAGGTAGCAACAAAGATAATTTGTTGAAGGGGCTCTGTCCTAGCCCCTTCGGAGCACATCTTGCCACTGATACCATCTTGTTTCTCTGCGAGCATGTGGACAAGACGGGCTTGGGAGCCGGACGGCCCAGGCTCAGATCCAGTTTCACCACTAACTGACCTCGTAACCTCAGACCAGCCCTCCTGCCTCGCTGGGCCTCAGTTTCCTCGTCTGTGAGATGGGCTGAGTGACTCCCATCTCGTGAGGTGCTGCGCAGACCAAGGCCGCGAACACTGAGTGTGAGTGGTGAGCAGTGTGTGCTGCCGGCGTCTGGTAGATAAGCCAGCGCCGCCATCGAGCAGACGGGAGGCTGAGGCACACGCGGACGGGGAGGCTTCACAAGCTCACAGGCGTGAACTCTTAGCAGGGCACAGTGGGTGCTCAGTAACGTTAGCTTTTTCATCACGATTCTCCCTCGTTGGCTGTCGTATCAGAGGCGCCAGGAAGTAGCACAGAGGAGTCGGGGGACGAAGGAAGGAAGGAAAGCTCTTGGGGCAGACACTGTGGCGCTCAGAGAGAGGGGACAGCTGGGGATCTGGTGGCAGACGCGGCCAGCGTGTAGCAGGGAGGCCCGGGGCCTGAGCAGAGAGGAGCGTCAGGGACCCCGCAGATCACAGACCCGGAGGAGAACGCCTCCCAGGCAGGACGTGACCAAGCACAGAGGGAAGAGCAGCTCAGAGGAAACAGGAAGCAGAAGGAAAATTCCAGAAGCACAGAGACACAAGGAGAGAAGCGAACATCAGTATCCCCCAGGATTCACAAGGCGGCGTTGCCTCCGTGACCTAGAACAGGAAGCTGTGAGAAAGGAGCATTCGGGAATCAGGAGAGAGCTTTCCGACGGGAGGAACAAATGAAATAAAAGGACAGCCCAGGGCCAAGGAGGAATAAAGTTAAGGGAGTCTTGCAGACGATAAAAGGAGAAGACAGAGGAGAGGCAAAGGGGGCATTCAGGAGGCCGGAGCCGGAAGCCCACCTTTTGAAGGCCAGAGTGCTAGGAGAAGGGAAGAGAGAGGACAGAGGGTGGCAGCATCGCAGAAACGCCCGGAGAGCAGAGCGAGGGGCCGCGGTGGAAGGCCACTCACTGGAGAAGGCGCTGTCCCGCAGGCCGGGGTTGCTGGGCGCGGCGGCCGCGGGGACGGCGGTGCACGTGGCCGTGGCCGTGGCCGTGGCGGGGACGGTGTCAGGAAGCACCTCTCTGCGGAAAGCCAGGGGACGGGTGAAGGGTGAGCGCGGGCCGCGGCCCCGGCCCCTTCCTCCCAGCGGGCACTCACAGGTAGCCCTCGTTGTGGTAGTCCTCCTCATCGTCATCATCATCGTCCTCACAGGCCGGCTCTGGGGGAGGACACGGGGTCAGCCGGGCCCGGCCAGGCCCAGCCCCCCCCCCTGCCCCCTACCCCGGCCCCGGGGCCCAGACGCACCCTCGTTCTCATAGCTGGCCACGCTGTTGGCTACAGAGAGAGGGGGAGAGGGAGACTGAGCCGGGCGAGAGGGGGCACAGCCTCCGCCAGCCCAGCCCCGGGCCCCAGTGCCCCGCTCCAGCTTACTGCCGTCGGAGTCCTGCCGGGCGGACGGCATGCGGTGGGAGCCCCCTGGGGGCCGTGGGGATCGCCTGGGGGTCAAAGGCAGAGGTCACTCCTGGGACGGGGCTCTGGGGCCAGGGGGGCTGCAGCGGGGAAAGAAGGCCCCTATCCCAGGAGGTGGAGGGTAGGGAGCAGGACTTGGCGGCAGGGGTGGAGGGGTTACTTACGGGATGGGGAGCAGGTCTGGCTGGCTCAGGGGTGGACAGGAGGTCACAGCAGCCTGTGGCCAGGGGGCTAGTGTAGCTGAGGACACAGGACCAAGCTGAAGGAGTGACTCCAGACACAACGCCCCTTCCCTCAAGGCTCAACAGCGGCCTAACCCCCTGAGGCCCCTGTGCCCTGGACAGGCCTGAGGGAACCCACAGCCCTCCCTGCCCCAGCTCAGGTCCCGGCCGTGCGGGCAGGCCCCAGGCAGCCTGAACAAGGACACACACTAGCTCCCACGCCAGGACTCTCCCCCCACCCAAAGGGAGAGGGCCCTCCGAGTACTCACGAGGCCTCTTGATCACGATGCTACTCGGCAGGCTGGCGGGAGAGACAGCGGGTAAGGGACCAGGAGACGCCCCGGCCCAGCCCGCCAGGGAATGAGGGAGCTGCCCGGCCAGGGGGGCACTCACCTGTCAGGCACAGCACTGTCATAGGCGTCTGCGGAAGAGACGGCCGGTGAGGCAGGAAGGCAGTGAGGAGGGGAGGGTGACAGAGTCGGGGGCACGCAGGAGTTAAGGACAGTTAGATGAAGCGAGGCACCCCCTCCCTGTCCGTGTGTCCGGACGTCGGACACCCCACCAGCCCCCACTCACCGGGCAGCTCTCGGCAGCGCACGCAGAGTGCCAGCAGCAGCACCGCCAAGAGGGGCAGCAGCAGGAGGCCCAGCACCGGGGGCAGCAGGATGGCTGCCTCCATCTGCAGGACGGAGCTCGGACCCGACCTGCTGCTCGCTGTACCTCCAGCACAGAGCTGCAGCAGAGCAGGCGCTGGGCAGCGGGGCGGGGACCAGCGGCACCAGGCTGGAGCCTGGCAGGGGCAGCCGTGTCCTCCTTGGAGCACCTGGATCCCCGTCCTGCCCGGGACTGGAAGACCCTTGGCCCCAAGGCAGTCAGGCCGGGGCCTGGGCCGGAGTCTGGGGCACCAGCCGCCCTGCGCGGACCCTGCACCCAGGCCTACCTGCCCCTGGGCTCGGCGCCCGCCTCTCCTCAGCGCCTGCCCTCCCGCCTGCGGCAGGAAGCTGTGGTGAGCGCCGGGTGAGGGCAGGAAATCATCAGGCTCCTCAGCCGGCTGCACCTACCCCCTTCCCACCCCCACCCCGCAGTGGGAGAGCAGAGGAGGCCCGGGAGCCACCAGGTCCTCCAGGTCTGCTGGTCTCCGGACCAGGGCACTCACACCAGCGGACAAGGACTCGCAGCGGCAGGCGGCCAGCAGCGCCTCCACAGCGGGGGCCCCAGGAGGCGGCAGAGGGAGGCTGACACCCGCACAAGGCCCACCCCGCACCCCAGCTGGCCTCCCACAGGGCGGGCCCTGGGGGAGCAGAGGCGTGACTCACAGTCACAGGGAGCCAGCTCACTGCAGCCTCGCTCTCCCGCCCAGGAGCCCGCAGGAGTGACCACCGGCCTCCAGGAGCCTTGGGGCTGAGGGGGCACCCCACATTCCAGGGGAAGGGGGTCCTAGCACCCAGAGACTCAAGCAGGCAGGCAGGTTCTGGCTACAAATTTTATTCAGTACAAATAGCACCGAGCCCCGGGGGCTGCTGCAGAGGGGGGACCCTCCCGCACCCATCGCAGCCTGGCTGCCCGTGTAGTGTGGACCTGGAACGTGCCCAGGCTCCGCTCAGAAGCCGGGCCAGGCCGAGTTCGGGCGGGCGCTGCCGGGCGTGCAGGCAGCGAGACGGCCCTCAGATGAGCACGCTGGACACGGGGACCCGGGTGGAGCGGCCTCGCTGAGGCACCACGATGCGGTCGTCCTCGGGGCCGGCCTCAGGCAGCAGACCTGTGGGGAGGGTCAGGGCCAGGTCGGCTGGGCAGACGGACACCGAGCCTGAGGGACACACGGGCGGTGGGGATGGGGGGCCCAGAGCTGCGGGCACAGCAGGCAGCAGCTTGCTGCCAGGCAGACCCGGAGCGGGTGAGGGAGGCCTGTGGCCCGAGGGGCCAGGTCACAGGCCTGGACACATGGGCGGCCGGAGGCTGGCAGGAAGGCACACTGACCCTGCACGTGCAGCTGGGCCCGCCGGCGGTCGCCCTCGATGAAGATGGCGGTGCCCAGGAAGGCCGCCCCGCCCAGCGCGCCGACGAAGGCGCAGAGCATGAGCGAGAACTGCAGGGCCCGGAACTCGGACAGGAAGGAGGGGGGCCAGTTCCGGCGGAGGCGGTCGGACATCTGCGGGGAGACGGGAAAGGGAAAGCAGGAGAGAGTCTTGGAAAGGGCGCCCCAAACTCCAGAAGAACAGAGACTGGAGCCGGGGAGGGGAGGGTGTCTGGAGCCCAGAGAGGCCCAGGCCTCCTGTGGAAACTCACGAAGACAAATCCTTCCGTCCAGCTGAGGGCCCCGGGTGAGGGGTGCGGGGCCAGAGCGGGGCCTGACCTTCCAATGCCGCCCAGGCTCAGGCCCCTGGCCACTGCGCGCCGGCCAGTGCCAGGAACCCGGGTGCCCGGCCCACCCCCGCCCGGCCCGCGGGCAGTGCTCACCAGGCCGATGAGGTAGGGGCTCCCGGCGTCACCCAGCAGGTGGGCCAGCACAATCTGGAAGGCCTCGGCGGTGGAGCGCCTCGTAGGGATCACCACGTACTGGGGGCGGGGGAGACGGAGACACACACACACACACACACACACACACACACACACACACGGCAAAGGTGAGGCCAAGGCTTCAACCCACGCAGAGGTCAGAGGTGAACCCCCGCTCAGAGGTGTGCGGGGGTAAAGGGGATGGCAGGCCAGGCTATAGGCCCATCTGGGGCTGGACGGCGAAGTCACTCTGGGGCCAGGTGGGGTAAAGGCCAAAATTCAAGGCAAGTGAAGCCTCCCACCCCGCTCCCTGCTCCCAGCAGCCCTGGGACGACCCACCTACTCACCAGCAGAATGTCTGCCACGATGGCCCAGTTCATGGACAGCAGTGTCTCCCCAATGAAGATGAACACCTGGGGACCAGGAAGCAGGGTTGAGCTCGTCACAAGAGCAAACACATGGAGGCCCATCCGTTAACTCATTGGTCCTCACACACCACATGAAACAGGAGCCACTACCATTCCCCTTTACAAACGGCGAAGCAGCACAGAAAGGTTAAGTCACTTGCCCAACGTCACACAGCTCGGAAGGGCAGGACCCGAGATTCAGAACCAGGCATTCCCGCTCCAACGCTGGCTGTGCACCATGCTGCTGCCCCAGGCCTGCCCCCGCGCCCCCTCCTTCCCCAGGGCCCTGCCGGCTACTCACGTAAGTGGCCACGATGCTGCCCCGGGCACAGGCCACGGACAGGAAGAGGAAGGGCGCGGAGCCCAGGAGGCCAGCGGCGCAGACCAGCGGGTCAGCCCGGGGGTTGGCGTGGCGGAGGCGGCGGCTGACCTCCACGCCCAGGCCCACGCCCAGCACACCGGTCACGCAGGTGATGAGCCCAAAGACGAGGCTGGGGGCAGAGGGAGGGACATGGGGCGAGTCTGTCCCCCCAAAAAGCCCCCGGGCCTCACTCCTACGGCCTGGAGAGGAGAGGGACCCCAGCACCCTCACAGCCCAGGTCTACCCGCACAACCGCCCAGGGTTCACCACGTTCCCCCACCGCCTCCCAGACCGGGAACAAACTCCGGGAGGAAAGCAGCGTGTGGGACTGAGACTCAGACGCTCCTGTCTGGGCCTGGGTCACCCTCTTCCCACGCCACCCCTGCCCCTGAGGCCCCCGTCCCGGCCCCCGGTACCTGTCAGAAGAAGAGCAAGAGTCTCCGGGGAGACAGGGCGGCGTCTCCCCCAAGACCACGCGGGAGCGCAGCAGGAAGGCGGGGGCCCAGAGCGCCAGGGAGCCCGTGACGAAGGCCACGGCGGTGAAGCCGAGGGAGGACAGGACGAAGCTCGGGCTGCGTCGGCGGGAGGAAGGGAGGAAGTCAGACCCCACTGAGGTCCAGGTAGCTCAGTGGTCGGCAAACTCATCATTCCACAGAGCCAAATATCAACGGTACAACGATGGAAATTTCTTTTGAGGGCCACATTTTTTAAACTTAAACTTCTTCTAACGCCACTTCTTCAAAATAGACTCGCCCAGGCCGTGGTATTTTGTAAAAGAGCCACACTCAAGGGGCCAAAGAGCCGCATGTGGCTCGCGAGCCGCAGTTTGCCGACCACGGAGGTAGTGGACTCTGTTCCCCCTTCCCGGCTGACTTTCTGAGGTCAGGGCACTGGGTGTGGAGGCTGTCCTGGCTCCCAGGATCTGGGCCTGTAATTCCAGCAGCTGCCACAGGGGGTGGTAGTGACTGAATTTCTGGCTGATATTGGGCCAGGGGACTGGAAAGAAAATGAAGACCAGCTGGATGGCTCAGTAGGTTGGCGCATCTCCCCCATATGCCTAAGTCATGGGCCCGATCTCCAGTCAGGTCCCACACAAAACGCAACCGATGAGCACATAAATAACTGCAACCACACATCCATCTCCCTCCCTCCCTCCCTCCCTCTCTCTCTCTCTCTCTCTCTCTCTCTCTCTCTCTCTCTCTCAAAGAATGACGACTCCCACATAAACTTCAGCCCAGCTGTCATGGCCAGGGCCTCCCTGGGGATCTAAGATGTGGGGTTGGGATGGAACCGGACTCACTTTCTAGCCAGAGCCCGCAGATCCGCCCGCCACGAGGTGGGGTTCAGGGGAGGGGAGTCCGAGTGGCGCTCCACAGCCCCCCGGGGCGGCTCCCGCACCACCAGGAACAGCAGCAGCACCGCCACCACGCCCAGGCCAGGCGTCACCTGCGGAGAGAGGCTTCAGGACGGGCCGGCAGAGGCACGCTCAGCCCTGGGCCGGGAGGAAGGGGAGGTGTGTAAGGGCGACTCAGGCCCCCAGACCTCACCCAGGGGGTAAGTGCCTGCTCCAGGGAGGGGGGGCGCCTCTGGGGCCACTCCCATTCCTGCAAGCCTGACTGCTCCGCCCTCGGTAGTAGCACCCTAACTTTCTCTGGGGAAACCACACCCCCGACTTCTCTAAATCCACGTGGTTCAAGTGGGGAGCAGGGCTGTAACCCAGACTTGGCCAACTTCCCAGCCTGGGGCCTGATTCCATGAGGGCAGGCATGTGACCACGTTCACCTAACCAGACACCAATGGACTATTGCTCAAGCACTCGGGGCCACGTGCTCGGGAACAAAGGTGGCAGAGAGGACAGCAGAGCTCAGGAGGGCGGCCGCATGCCTGTCTGTGGGCGCCTGGAGCCGGCTGTACCTGCCGCTCCCCCTCCTTTCCTTTCTGAGAGCCAATGCCATCCCATTTGGGTGCCTGCACTTACAATGGGCTCCGTCACCTACAACCAAGATTCTGTCGAGCACATGGCTGGTACGGAGGGCACCCAGGCCTGCAGGCTTGGCAGAGCAAACGCTGCCTGGACATGGGGTGTCTGAAAAGAGGGGGAACCGGTGAAGGTGTTGCTGACCTCCCCCCAGGCTGTGACCAGACTCACCCTCAGAGCCCAGTGCCAGTCCCCAGCCACGTCCTTCACTTTGGAGCCTGCGATGTAACCCAGACCACTGGGGCGGGGCGGGAGAGAAGGGACAGCCGGTCATGCCCAATGCCAGGCCCTCTGCCTCCCACAGGCAGGCCCACGCCCTCTCACCTGCCCACTGGGATGGCGAAGTAGAACACACTGAGCATCCGGCTCCGCTGGTCTGCCACGAAGAGGTCAGCGATGAGCGTGGGCGCGATGGTGGAGTAACTGGCTTCCCCGACCCCCACCAGGCCCCGCGTCAGGAGGAGCAGCCAGAATTGCTGGGGAACGAGACGGGGGTGGGGGGTGGCACCCCACCCTACAGCCAGCCTCCCAGCCAACTCACCAGCCAGTTGTGGGGAGGTGGCAGGGGTGGTGAGAGAGGCCAGGGTTTTAGAATCAGAAAGCCCTGAGCTTGCATCCTGGCTGTGACTTTGAGAGAGCAACGTAACCTCTCTGAGCCTCAGTTTCCTAATCTGGAAAAGGGGGTAACAACTTCTTCACGTAACTACTGTGAGGACTGGATAATAAAAGATCTCCTCCTTACCTTGTGCCCAGGAGGTGCAAAATAAACCTTACTTTCTCTCTCGCCTACCCCTCCCCACCGTGTATCACCATCTTAGGTGGGTTTCACTGTCTAGCGAAGGCCCCCCAGCTAGGGGGCGGGTACCATCACCCAAGGAGTGTGCCGTGAGTGCCTAGAGCGGAGGACAGCGTCCGGGGCGGAGAGGAGGACAGACGGGGGAGAGATTAAAAGAGCA